GATGGGCAAACTGAAAAAAATCATTATGTCACAAATTTTGATTCTATTGAAACCAGAAGAGTCACTTAATTCTGGTATTCAAATGCCCCGCCCCCTGGGAAATCGTATTGGGTAAAATCCTGCTCCACATAGCTGCATAAACACAAAGTATGTTCTGATTGGCTGTGATTAGGGCTGTAAGATTTGAGGGAAAATGTAGCTGAGATTTTTGTGAAAAATTCTGAATATATATTTATTAATCTTCCAGGTTTGCTGTGCTTGTATGAGGGATGCATAATTTGGATAAAAATGTGTAATTATATATCAATGTAGTAGTAGTAATAATAATAATAATAATAATACTTATTATTTTATTACTACCACTAATTAAAAATATAAAATAGTTAAATATGACTATTGTAATATTTGACTGTAAATAAAAAAGCTAGTGTTTAATAATACTAATACTAATTATTAAAAATTTAAAATATTATTACTTTATATTACTTCTACTACTTGTACCGCTACTACTACTAAAACAAAAAAAGAAAAAAAAGAAATATGACTATTTGACTGTAAAACAATCGTGTTTAAGAAAAAAATATTTATACAAATATAAAATAATATTATTGTCACGTTCGCTACTGTGAGGGAGCGCGGAGCGAGGAACGAGGAGACGTGGAGCATACTTCGAACAAAGAGACTTTAATGACATCAAGGGAACCAGGAACACACACGTAGCGGGGAAAGATGACATTGAATACCGGACAGGAAACTCAGAACAGGAAACACTTTAAATACACATGACATGACGAGGGGATGACGAGAAACACCTGGGAGCAATAACATAATTGCACATGAGGGAAAACTGGGTCACGTGGGGGAGGAAAACAAAAGACACGGAACACAGGACTGACATTACTCCCCCCTCCCAGAAGGCATCCCCCCACAACATCCAACGGGGAGGGGGCGGTGGGCGCTCTGGAGGCCCCTCAGGACAGACACGGGACGGCAGGCCTCCAGAGCGGTACCCGTTCCGGGACCCATGGCGGATAAGGCAGTTCAGGGCGCCATGGCGGAGCAGGCAGACTAGGAGGCCATGGCGGAGTAGGGAGCTCAGGGGGCCATGGCGGAGCAGACAGTTCAGGAGGCCATGGTGGATCGGCCCGGAGCCCTATAACCCCCCCCCAAAATACTTGGAGAAAATATCAACCCCTAAGGTGGCTAGACTCGGGGACAGGAGCCCTCTCTGGGCTAAACTTGGGGACTGGAACCCTCTCTGGGCTAAACTCAGGGACTGGAGCCCTCTTTGGGCTAAACTCAAGGATTGGAGCTCTCTCAGGGCTAGACTCGGGGACTGGAGCCCTCTCTGGGCTAAACTCGGGGATTGGAGTTCTATCTGGGCTAAACTCGGGGACTGGAGCAGACACTGGAGCGAACTCAGGGGCTGGAGCCAACACTGGAGCTGGCTCCGGGGCTGGAGCAGACACTGGAGCTGGCTCAGGGGCTGAAGCCGACACTGGAGCTGGCTCAGGGGCTGAAGCCGACACTGGAGTGGACTCAAGGGCTGGAGCCGACAGTTGCTGCCTCCTTAAATTCCTCCCTTGAATTGGGGTTAAGGATCGTGCAGCTGTTGATGACAATGGAACCGCTGGTGGGCCTGACTCCGGAACGGCTGGCACCGGACACTCTCCAGACACCGGAGGATCCCTTCCCTCCAGCTTAGTCCCTTGGTGTCTGGGAGGTCCACGGGGCGATGGTAGTTGGCCCCGTGCCAGAGCAGAGAGTTGATGGTGGCGTCATCTAATGCCGTCGCCGCGGCGATCCCGCAGATCTCCCAGGCATACTCGACGAAGGGGAGATCCCTACGGGCTAGGGCAATGAAGCGTGCGGCGGTTTCCATGGCACGTGGAGAAACAAACAGGAAAACAAAAGACTATTCAAAAAACGAAAACAAAATCGGGAGAAGGGGCGCCGCTTACTTTCTGTTTTGTTCCGGTATTCTGTCATGTTCGCTACTGTGAAGGAGCGCGGAGCGAGGAACGAGGAACGAGGAGACGTGGAGCATACTTCGAACAAAGAGACTTTAATGACATCAAGGGAACCAGGAACACACACATAGCGGGGAAAGATGACATTCAATACCGCATGAGGGAAACTAAACAGAACAGAGCTTAAGAAGGGAACTTAACGAGGGAATTAATCCGACACACCTGAATCAATGAACAAACATCTGGGAACAATAGAACACAATCTATATTATATTATATTATATTATATTATATTATATTATATTATATTATTATTTACAACCATAACATTAGAATAATAATTTTTATGGCTGTCTGAATTTTCAAATGTTAAACAATCTCTGAGACATTGAAAACACAGATCTTGAGCTTATTTTGATTGTGATTATGTCAAGTTGCACAGAATTTGTACTTTCATTGTGGATGTAAAACTACTTGTCGCCGGAAACTTCTGAAGACGTCAAACAAATCAGTTTGTCTTCCACAGAAGAAAGACAGACATGAGGCAGATTAAATGATGACAGAATTTTCCTCTCTGGGTGATAAAATTGTTCAAGACAAAGAACTATCAAGTCAAAAATAAATGTTTCTAAGTTGGAGAGAACATTCTAAATCACTCATTGGGATTTCATGTTTCTGACAGTTTGGGAGAAGGCAGCATAAAGCGGCTCTATGTAAGTCAGCTGCCTCTGAGCACAAAGTCATCACCTGAATGCATAAATCAGCCACTCAAAGTTAATTGTTATTCTACTTCCATGTATTCTTTGATCACGCCATTCACGTATCAGTCTGTGTGGGCCAGAAAACACTAAGCTATCTTTGACACATGGATCTTTTATAAATCAAAGGACATTTATTATCTCCGTACAAACGACCTGGGGAATTCTCAGATATGGAGAGCCACAATATCATTATAAAATCCAATCCGCCAGGTGTATCGAATACATCCCATGATTACTTCCACGCGAAAAGCTCTGCTGACATAATGAACGGGGCATTTGCTGAGCCTGTGATAACGTTCCTGCTCCGTATTGATCAGATCTGGGAACAGTAGATATCTTTAACGCTGCAGTGGAGAGTCCTTTAAATGGCTCACCTCCCATACCTCATTTATCAAATGTAATCTGTTAGTATTCCACAACATTAATCAAGCCGCTGTCCCACTTTCTGGTGTATGTGCGTGTATGCGCTCTCATGATTGTGTGTGTGGGAGTCTGGGAGATTGTCTAGTTGTTGATTTTGCGTCTGCTCTTGATTAAGGGTGTTTACGGGTAAAAGTGCGTCTTATAAAGCTTTGCCCAGACCAATATTGATTCTCTACAGAAATTTATAGCCAACAAATCATACAACAGGTGAACACAAAGCCATTTTGCAACATCCAGCTCGGCATGGAAGAAAAATCAGATGATGTATTCCACTCTTTATCTCAGGTAATGAGATACAGCTATAAATCTTTGTACATAAAAATGTGATTCTGAAACTTTTGTCCAAAACCTAGTAAGTTTTCTCATTGCTTATGGCCTACATAGCCTCCATAGGCAAGACCCTCCCAGCTAACAAATGTATGTTCTGAAAACAGTGATTTGGAATATTTCGAACACGTTAAAATGTTCAGTTTTCTTGTCATTGTTATGACAGTGTTTAAAAAGATAGTACAACTTTCCTCGAACCTTTGTTACTCAAAGTATAACATTCTTTGAATGTTTATTTGTAATATTCCAAGTATGTAAACATTCAGCACATATCAATAACATCATAACGATGTCTCGAGAATCTTTTCTTTCAACAATGAGAATGAGATGAGAATGCATATTCAATTTAAATTTGATAAGAATGTTCTATAAATATTACTTTGAGCATGTTTTATCTTGACATTTACCTAACCTTTAGAAAACGTTAGTGTAAATTGTGCGAACATTCATTATTAGCCGGGCTAACAGTCATGAAACGAGAAAGAAGTGAGAGAAAGCGTGAGAATAATATTTAAATACTGTAATAATCATAAATATACAAGGCCCTTTCAAATTTCGAATTATTTTGCACTATTTTTATTGATACTTTTCAGTATTGGATGAATTACAATTTATAAATGTAATTTCTCTTGATTTGTTTGCCATCTTTAATTTATTTTTCACCATCATGGATTTATTTATTTATTTTTTGCCACTTAATATATCCACCATGTTGCATTTATGTTTTAAATCAGCTCACCACCATATTAAACTTTTTTCACTCAGCTTTTCCATCATCTTCAATTAATTGGATTTTTTTTTTATTGAGCTTATCTACCATTTTAGATTTACATTTTCACTGAGCTTGTCCACCATATTGGATTTATTGTTTTTCCTCAGCTCATCCACGATCTTGGATTTAGTTTTTTACTGAGATTTTCCATTACATTACAGTACATTTAGTCATTTAGCAGACGCTTTTATCCAAAGTGAATTACAAATGAGGACAATAGAAGCAATCAAACCGACAAAAGAGCATTTGTCACCATTTTCATACGTATCCGCCATGTTGAATTTATACTTTTACTGAGCTTGTCTACCATATTGGATTATTTTTTCCCCCCCACTCAGCTTATCTGCCATCTTGGATTTTGTTTTTCACTGAACTTGTCCACCATCTTGGATTTATTTGCCTTAAAATATAATTAGACTGAAAACAAGGCATCAGAGGTAGCATAATTAAGTTAAATACATAATTTTAAGGCATTATTGGTTTGTTCCTGATATGAAAGCTCTTTCAAACAGACTTTGTGCACCTATGATGATTTGAAATGCTTTAAACAGAGCTCACTAGGTTTTGGAACAGAGTTCACACAGTTTATATACTAGCTGTCAGCAATCTGTCACCGCAACCTATCTAAGCAGTAGTAAAAAAGCACAATCCCTTAAAGTTCCTCTATTAAAAGCTCATTCAGCTGAGGTCCACCACCCACCTAATAACACACAAGACAAAGATATGAGTTTAGTGGCGATCACTCACCTTTCTTGTCCCCAAAGAAGAGCGTCTGTTGTGCAGGGTTTGACCACTGGAGGGAAGTGTTGTCATTGTGTTCCACACGGCAGGTCAAGTTGGCTATTCCTCCTTCTGTCACAGTCATGTTCTGGACGATAGGGAACTGGCCTTGAGCTCCTGGAAGAGACAGACAGAAAGTGTGTGAGAGACAGGCACAACCACAGCAACATATGGAGCGTTCAACCTTTAGCATGAGCGCTCTACATGAATCCATCAATAGAAAGAATGAAGAAAACGACAAAAAAGCCAAAACACAGCAGCACCTGGGAAGAGTAAAAGAACTCTTTCACAGAAGTTCTTGTAATATTAATGCCACGTAAAAAAAACACCAAGCATGTTTTACTGACAGTTAAAAATAGAGCATGATGGAAAATATACAACCCAGTCAGTCAAAGTGACAGATAATGACTATTTGTAACGCAACCTCTGGCTATAATGCGTTTTGCTGAAGCCCAGATCATGTGGTTTGGTTCGTGGAAGAGTTGTTCCAGAAAGGCAAAGTGGAAGAGAGCTATTTACATCTAAACGTGGGTGAAAAGTACAGAAGATGAAGAAAGTTACTGACATCATTCAACACTAAATCATAATTGAGTCAGAAACACATGAGGAGAGGAGAACAGGCAACTGCTAAACTCAATGCCTTCAAAGATCTGTGAATAAAGATTTAGGTCTGTTTTCAAAAGCAACCAGATGACAATAAGCAACTTTTTTGGCAGGAGTTCTACCTGGAGGTGTTAAAGGAATTGATGACTCATCAGAATAAAACTAAAGTTTTTGTTTTAGCCTGCAAAGTCAGCACAATGCTGTTAAGGTACTGTGCATTGTTTTTGAACTGCCCCCCTGAGTCAATTTGCTACATAAAATTGTTCATTTTCTCTTAAAAGTCAAAGTGATTTTTTCCCCCAAAAATTCCCAGAAATATTCTTATTATATAATATTACAACAATAATAATAATAATAATATAGTTAATTAATATTAATATTAATTAAAAAACTTAGAAATTAAAAAAATCATGGCGCCCCAATGGCCTTTTAAAGGTAAACAAACAATAAAATGATACACAAATTCAAACTCATTAAAGGGATAGTTCACCCAAAAATGAAAATCCCATAAATTAATTACTCACCCTTATGTCGTTTCCAGACCCAATGATGGAAAATATACAACCCAGTCAGTCAAAGTGACAGATAATGACTATTTGTAACGCAACCTCTGGCTATAATGCGTTTTGCTGAAGCCCAGATCATGTGGTTTGGTTTTTGGAAGAGTTGTTCCAGAAAGGCAAAGTGGAAGAGAGCTATTTACATCTAAACGTGGGTGAAAAGTACAGAAGATGAAGAAAGTTACTGACATCATTCAACACTAAATCATAATTGAGTCAGAAACACATGAGGAGAGGAGAACAGGCAACTGCTAAACTCAATGCCTTCAAAGATCTGTGAATAAAGATTTAGGTCTGTTTTCAAAAGCAACCAGATGACAATAAGCAACTTTTTTGGCAGGAGTTCTACCTGGAGGTGTTAAAGGAATTGATGACTCATCAGAATAAAACTAAAGTTTTTGTTTTAGCCTGCAAAGTCAGCACAATGCTGTTAAGGTACTGTGCATTGTTTTTGAACTGCCCCCCTGAGTCAATTTGCTACATAAAATTGTTCATTTTCTCTTAAAAGTCAAAGTGATTTTTTCCCCCAAAAATTCCCAGAAATATTCTTATTATATAATATTACAACAATAATAATAATAATAATATAGTTAATTAATATTAATATTAATTAAAAAACTTAGAAATTAAAAAAATCATGGCGCCCCAATGGCCTTTTAAAGGTAAACAAACAATAAAATGATACACAAATTCAAACTCATTAAAGGGATAGTTCACCCAAAAATGAAAATCCCATAAATTAATTACTCACCCTTATGTCGTTTCCAGACCCATAAGATATTTTTGATGAAATCTGAGAGCTTTCTGACCCTGCATAAACAGCAGTGCAACTACCATGTTCAAGGCCCAGAAAGGTAGTAAGGACATTGTTAAAATAGTCCATGAGACATCAGTGGTTCAACCTTAATTTTATGAAGCTACGAGAATACTTTTGTGCGCAAAGAAAACAAATAATGACTTTATTCATCAATTTCATCTTGTCCGTGTCAGTCTTCGACATGCGTTAACAAAAGTACTCATAGCTTCAAAAAAAAAAAAAAAAAACGGTTGAATCACTGGTATGACATGACAATGTCCTTACTACTTTTCTGGGCCTTGAATGTGTCAGTTGCGTTGCTGTCTATGCAGGGTCAAAAAGCTCTCGGATTTCATCAAAAATATCTTAAATTGTGTTCCAAGGGTCTTACAGTTTGAAACAACATGATGGTGAGTAATTAATAACAGAATTTTCCTTTTTGGGTGAACTATCCCTTTAAATGTTGCCATGTTGAGCAACTGGAACCTGTTTGGCTTTAAAGTGACTTCTGCGTGAATGCACTTTATACATCGCTACACTATTGAAAACAGAAACAAAAAAGGACGTCCCTTAAGCACCTACAAACAACAGATATGGGTCACTCGTGAGCCCTTGCTTACTACGATCCGAGCAGAAGACTGAATAAAGGTTTAGTTCAGTGAGAAATAATTCACAAACTGACATCCATCACGGCACCCCAGGGTTAGACAGGCAATAACAGATCACCTTGTGCAGGGAGGGGAGCTAATGAAAAACTGTACACACACACACACACACACATATATAAAGACAACCCTGGAGAGGACATGATAGATGAATAATCTGTATTTATTTAAAGTGAAAAAGTGATGACTCACAGATCAGAGATCAACATCTCCAGCGCCACCGCTGCCAGACAATGGGACATCAGGAGAGATGAAAAATGTTCGAATGTGGTGTAATAGGCAAAGGAGAAGGACGAAGACACGATGGAAGAGAAACGCTGTGTCCTAACCAGGCAAGTTTTTAGTGTGAAGTCATTTTTAAGTCCTAACTCAAAGAAAAATGATGAAAATAGCAACCAAACAACCACAGAAGTCATGGATTAAAATGCGAAAGATGTGATTTAGTACATGATTAGGACACGGCGAGCACAGATTAGTGGCTGATGAGAGAAATAGAGATCGACGGGTATCTGGTTCAATTCGACTCAATTTAGCATCTTTTTCTGTTCGCTGCTAATTGCAGCGTGTCACAATTAGTCTGATTTGAGAGCCTGTCCAGATATGGTGTAGCTTTCATAAGAGAACCAGGAGGACAAGAAGGAGTGAGTGAGAGAGACAGAGAGGGAGAGCTGCTAAGGGCCTCTCCACAGGCTTCCTGACAGAAGAGCACGTCGGCCAGCTGTGGTGCTTATTTCTTTTCCGTGCCTCTGGCGGTCATATTACATACACACACAAACACTGAGGAGGCGTCGATTTGGGATTTATTTAATTTCCTTGCACGGCTCGCAAGGCACATAAGAGCCTCCGCTGATGGACAACGCCGTGAGAAATGTACCCAGCACAAGAAGAGCCATACTTCGTTTCAAAGTGAATGAGGTCCGGTTTAAATAATAATAATAATAATAATAATAATTATAAAAAAAATTATTATTATTATTAAAAAATCAGCAGATCATAGTGACCATGGTTCATTTTAAGTCAAAAGTTGCCATCAACTGTTTGATTATCCACATTCTTTAAAAATATTCTCTTTTGTGTTAAACAGAAGAAAGAAATTCAATAAGGGCCTCTCCACAGGCTTCCTGACAGAAGAGCACGTCGGCCAGCTGTGGTGCTTATTTCTTTTCCGTGCCTCTGGCGGTCATATTACATACACACACAAACACTGAGGAGGTGTCGATTTGGGATTTATTTAATTTCCTTGTTTTAGTGAGACAGAAACAGTTGCATATTCCACAGTCTTGATTATTATAAGCAGAAAATATTGTGCTGTAGTTTAGCACTGTTATGCTAATGATGCAACTCAAAATGATTTATTTGCAACAAACTTGCAGATAACAGATGATAAAATCTGAAAACATGAGATATGGGTAATTTTGCTACAGTTTTGACCAAATATTTGCCAAAACGGTTTGGCACTTTCGTGCAGGAGCAGAGTTCAGTTCTGTTTGTAGTTCTGTGTCAGTGTGACATCTGGATTCTGTAAATGAACCTTAAATTCCCATAAATTCATAAGGACTTTTTGCATTTTGAGAGTTTAGTAAAATGGAACTCCAATATTTGAAACTGGTGGTGGACCAATATGGATTTTGTGATGGCTGATGTCGATATCAAGCCAAAATCTTAAAAATAATTGTTACAAAAAGGGGGTTTGGAATATACTACAAAACTTTTCTGTGAACAGAATCATATTTTTCTTACTGTGAAAATTTTTTAATAATCTAAAGAACATTTTTTTTCCACTATAAAGAACCTTTTGTGGATTGGAAGGTTCTTCATGGAGCCATCAATGCCAATAAAAAAAACCTTTTATTTTTGAGTGTAGTAAATAACATCTGCTCAACAGTTTCAGCAATGACATATACATTTGTTTTACATATTTAATAAAAAAAAAAAAATTCTCTTTTGTGTTAAACAGAAGAAAGAAATTCAAACAGGTTTGGAACAACTTGAGGATGAGTAAATGATGACAGAATTTTCACTTTTGGGTGAACTATCCCTTTAAATTCAAAAGGGCTCAAACTGAATTTTAAGAGTTTAGTAAATGACAATGAAATATTAGCAATATATGTGTTGTATGTTCCATCAGGTCATAATGCACATGGATTTTGAATGGCTAACTATATAATCTGATCTGAGTTTAAATAGTATAGTTACGGCATGCTAACCAGTCAAAACATGACCCCATGGTTCACTTCTCTGGCTCAGGGGTCATATGAGACAGTATAGAGCAGGTCATTTACTACCTGATTAAGGTCTCCTACAGACCACAGCATTACAGGCGGAGGAAGAAAGAGACAGAGAAATGGATCTGTATTACTCCAGGTAGGCAGGATACATTATTCATCTGTGTTTTGCATGAAGCATGGCCTGCCAGCCCCTGTCTCTAGTTCTCTCTCTGCTTCCTTGATCTTCTCCTGCCTCATTTTCTCATCCCCATCCCTCATCACTCTT